TGGGGGGAACTGCAGGAGCTAATGCAGGGGATGACCAGTGTTGGGCAGAATTTATCTCAAGGTTAAACCAAAGATTTGGAAAATATATGAGGAGAACAAGAAGAAGACTCTGGGGTATACATGAGACATTTATTTCAGATGATTTTGAGGTGGATAAAGAAGACCTATTTGAAACTATGAGATTTGTTAGTTATCATTTAACTTTGAAAGGGCAATGAAATATTATGCAGAAATATGATTATGTTAGAGACACCAGATGGGAAATAGAAAGTTGAATGTCCTCAGAGATGATCATGAAAATCATGAGATTTATTGAGTGATAGAGAGAAAATGGCAAAGGGAAAAGAACAAAAAACAGTCAAGCAGCAATGTTATCCCTGACAAGAATTGAATGGTATTTAAAGTGTAGGTATACTATGACTTCTGGTGACATACGCCACTCTTGCTCAAAATTTATTGCAGAAAGATAACCATTGTGATAGGCAATGGTTGGATGTTGTGAAAAGAAATTCATGTCTAATCTGAGTAAGCCTTTCCTCAATCCATTTTGTTTGTGTTTTCAGACTCTCACTCAGCAGTGAGACATCTTAGGAACCTAATGCCAACAGCAGATGCTTGGCTTTGCAATAGAGAATCCCACATAGTCATCAAGCCCTTCTGCCTTGCCAAGCCAATGAAAATGGTACAGAACACATATGTCTCCATGTGGCTAGAAGTTCAGAATCTAAAAGCAGCTGAGTAATTAGCATTTAAAAATTGGCTTAAAAGAGACAAGAATTTTATTCCTGGATGTTAGCTCTTAAAAACTGAAAAAAGAACATAAGGCTAGGAAGGGGTAAAGAACCATCATAGATATAACTATGTATACATGCAGTTCTACTCCATCCTTCCACTGGAGTAAAAAACAATAGTGCTCAAGATGGTTCACAATTGGCTAATAAAAAAACCTCAAAATTTTTTGAATGTTCTGACTTACATTCCATATTTGTTGATGTTTGACAAAAATCATGTCCACATAACATACCTGGAGCACTTCGTGTCCATTATATAGGTAGAAAATATAAGAGTTGCAGCTAAGTATCATCCCAAGGGGGATGATTAAGACACAGGGTTTTTGATCTATTCTTTCACTGTTTTTATTGTTTTATTTATGAATCTTTTACTATTGTGAGCTGCCCAGAATTGCTTAAGGTGGGAGGCTATATCAAAATTTTAAATAAATAAATACCTGTAAATATAAGCCACGTGAACTTTAAAAGAAGAGATGCAGTCTGCCCCAGAAGTTATTTATGGTACCTGGACATTGGTTTATTTATGAAAATAGTTAAGATACTATACTAACAGAAATTAATGTCTGATCAGTAATCTATGGAAAGTTCCATTTATTTATAAATAGAGTTTCAATACAAATCTTATAAATTGCCTGGATTGCTAAGGGTCCCTTGCATGATCTACAGCAGAGTCATTTTAAAGTATTAGCAGTTCTACTTATAAATGAAAATGCATTGTAAAACTCAGCTTGAAAAAGATTTGATTGCACCAGCAAATACTATTTCTTCCTATGCAAGGAACAATCTCTATTAATTCCTCAATCGCATTTCAGCTCTGTAACATTTTGGAGTTTAGAAGATTTTTCAGCCCTAAACAGTATTTGAGGTAGAGGGTTGGAGATAAGGTGGAAAATCCCAGTTGTGCAAAAACAAAAGTTTAGAATCCAAACATTATGGAAAATAGATCAACAAAAGTCCTTAATAAAGAATAATGAAATAGCATTATAGATATCCTCAGGAGGAAGTGTTCTGGTTAATGTGAATGTAAATAAAGTTTTATTAATTTGTTTATAGTCTTCTTGAACAAATAAAAATCTGCAGTATGTTTTTCCTTTCTTTCTGAAACTCAACACTTAACAGGATACAGCAATTGCTCTGCTAGCATCGTCCCACCACACCATGACTGATGTATTGATTGCACTGTGAAGAGCTCAGCAGAAACAAGTTTGATACTTCAGTCCTCAATCTTCAGTCCACCATGTGACTAACACAAATAGTGATTATGATTTCTAAGCTTTAATAGCTTGCACTGTGGTTATAGTTTAGCAATGTTAGCAGGTTGTGTATCTTGTTCCAGAAGCAATTGCTTTCCCTTTATTAAATTATTCTAATTACTTTTAAATGGGCCAAGTATTTTCACTGGAGGGCTTATACACTATTGCTTAAAAGTGTAAGCTTTATATTACATAGTTATAAATGAGTTATTACAATTAAAAGTTTATTTGGCTTGCCAAATTTAAGCATGCTTTAGTTCCTGTGATTCCAATGAGAGAGCACCACATATATGTTTTGTTCCCTATCAAAATTTACATTTTGTCACTAAATCAGTATTTTTTTGATCTGTACAACTTTAAAAAATGTGGACTTCAACTCCCAGAATTCTACAGTCAGCATGGGTTGAAAAACTCTGGGAGTTTGAAGCCCACACCTCTTAAAGTAGCTGAGTTGAGAAATGCTGTAATAAATCACATACTGTTCATTGAAGCTCCCAGATAGGATTATATCAGTTTGCAGCTGAAGAGTCTCCAATCACAGCATTTCAGATGCATGACAAAATCAGGGCCTGGGAGATTAAAATCATTTCTGATTTCTTGGAGAGAAATGGGAAAGGAAAGCAGGAGTGGTCATACATAAAGGCAAGCACAATTCCTGAGGGATTGGAGAATGCTATGGAAGTTACCAAAAAATAATATTTAAGTAATATTTGTCTGTCTATCTAAAATGTATATGGTCACTCATATACATGACTCTGGGCAGCTAACAGTTAAAATCTTATATTTGTTTTCATTTTAGATTCATCAATAGAATTTTTTTTTGAAAACTAAAAGACTTCAAGAAGAATAAAAGCCTTATGCTGATGAACAGATTTTGATCAGGTTGCTGATGAGGAAAAAGGTTTCAGTTTCTCACAAGAACCACTTAATTAGGCTTTTTATATTTCCTGCCTTTACTTCTGACAGCTTATCATCTACTTTTGTCTATTTTGTAGGACTTAAAGTGATTTTCTCTGATGTCTATAATTAAGATAGATTACAGAAATGAAATCCCCACACACAGTTACTTCTAATGTAAGATAGTCTTACAAAATGAAACTCTACCATAGTTCTGTAGACACCACAATTCTTTCTGGTTGGGTTCTAGTGACCTAGTCTCTTACCTATTGGCTATTCTCTCAAACAAACCCAAATATTTTTATAGAGGTGTGCATTGACTACCTAATCTGGAGCCCTCAATATCTTCTCATTTACTTTATATTGTTTCAGGAGTAATCAAATGTGACTCAAGCCCTGAATCTGAAATATGATTCAGCATAAAAGGAAACCCATTGTCTCATATTTTATGAAAATACCTTTTTGTCAGCAGAATTTGATGTAGGCTATTCAGTTTGGTGTAGTGATTAAGACATCAGATGAGAAAACATGAATGTATGAAGTCTAGTCCTGAGTTAGATAAAACATTGGGTGACCTTGGTTCAATGACTCACTTTGTCAGCCCTAGGAAGGAGGCAATGGCAAACCATTTCTGAAATCTTGCTAGGAAAATTGCAGAGGCAATCAGCAGAAGTCAATGGCATGCAAAGACACACAAAAACAAAAGTGATTTTAAAATGCCCATATGTTTGTGCCATAATTTAATGAAAATGTCAGCAATAATACTCCACTCCTTAGGGAATCCTTGCCAAATTTCAGGCCAATATTGAGACTATGCAAAGTGTAGTAGGAATACCCATCAGGTTAATCATGCCACTTCCTGTATATGTTGGAAATGTAGTGGTTGAAGCATAAGTAATGATCTTGTTGATGTCTTCCACTGAATAAATCAGTTGCTGATAGACTAGGTTACCCAAGTAATGCAGCTCAGATAAAAGACTAGAAGCAAAAGGTTGAATGAAAAGTGCAAGAAACAGTCTTCTTGTCCATCACCAAATAATCCCACATGCCTCCAAATTTTTGGTTGGAATGATTTATGGCAAACTACTAATGAATCACTATAGTGCAAAGGTATATTTTTGATTTCAATATTCTCCCTGCTTTCTATCCTTCTCCCAGGCATTTGACATAAATGGCAAAAGTTGGGGAGTTTATTGTTATTTTCAATGCAACTTTTACTCATAGCATAAAAATGTTCTGGAGAACTATAGAGTCTACAACTATTAACTAGAATGAGTTGGTTGGAATAGACATACTATTGTAGGAATCTAACAGGACCTTTCTCTCCTTCCTTTTTTTACATTTCAAACAGTCCCTCAGATAAGTCTATGAACTCCCAAGAAATGTAATCTGGAAAAATCTTTTTATTATATTGGCTTGATAATATATTCTCCAAACCCAATATTGTTCTATTCAAAGACCAAGAAAATTTCCTCTTTTGTTCTTTTGAATGCTAATGATAGCCAGAAATTTAAATATAAAAGAAATTATTTTATTGTTTCAAAGAACAGTGTTGAATACTTTTGTCAGGTTCCAATTCTTGAGATTCTTTTCATGAGTTCTAAGCCTGAGGGAAAGCAGAAGAATCTGGGTCCCCCCCCCCGCTAATTTATATTTTAAAAGCTCCTGCTTGAGAAGAGCAACAAAGATGATTAGGGGACTGGAGGCTAAAACATATAAGGAACGGTTGCGAGAATTGGGTATGTCTAGTTTAACGAAGAGAAGGACAAGGGGGGACATGATAGCAGTATTCCAATATCTCAGGGGCTGCCATAAAGAAGAGGGAATTAAGCTATTTTCCAAAGCACCTGAAGGCAGGACAAGAAGCAACGGGTGGAAACTAATCAAGGAGAGAAGCAACCTAGAACTAAGGAGAAACTTCCTGACAGTGAGAACAATTAATCAGTGGAACAGCTTGCCTCCAGAAGCAGTAAATGCTCCAACACTGGAAGTTTTTAAGAAGAGACTGGACAGCCATTTGTCTGAAATGGTGTAGGGTTTCCTGCCCGAGCAGGGGGTTGGACTAGATGACCTCCAAGGTCCCTTCCAACTTTACTATTATTATTATTATTATAAGTAGTTTTTAATTAGCAACAATTGCTCCTCAAATTAACTTCACTGGTTATGATACTGCCATTGTATAAAGCTTTTGACCTTTTCCCAATTTCAGCTTCATCCTCTTTTATTCCTATTTTCTAAATGATTTATCTCAAAATAGACACAGTTAGTATTTGACCTTTTGATAGTTTGGCATGAGCTTGGAATTAAACCAGAATTTAGCTCCAAATTAGAGGGTTTTGTCATCTCTGATTACCAGATTAACAGCTTTCACTTAGCTGGCATGAGAAGAGTACTTATCTTCTAGGGAGAGTTAAGGAGGGCTTTTTCAAAGAAAACACAGAGACATATGCATTCAGAAACAGTAAATTGGTATTGATTGCAAGCAAATCATAACCATCACAGTCACTCCTCATACAAATCCTCCACCACTAGTTTAACCAAGCTCCATCATGGGTCATTGGAGGAGACGACTGATGAATAACAAGACAGAGATTGTGAGCAAGAGAATCTTCCAATGAGCTCAGATTTTTCAGTGAGCTTTATAATTTTCTGTCATTTGAATTGAACCATTCCATGCCTATTTGTGCATTCCTTGAAACTAATGCAAAGTCCAACAAGTATTAAGCTGTGTAACATTAAAGTGGTGGAAATGTTGTCAGGTGGAAAGTTAATCATTTTTCTAATAATAGCTTTTCTTCTTCCATATCACAACATGGACTTCCCCCTGTGGGTTTAGCAGAATTGCTACCCTGCTAGCCTCTATTCAGGTAATATAGACTTATTGTGGCTTATTTTGTAATGCTTGATTCCTATTTCAGTCAAAATTCTGTTGTGTTTCAAACATCAAAGACTGCAAAATATACTTTATTTCAATGACTTGGGGAACAAAACTTATATTTAAATTTGAAAATGGTAGGTAAACCTTTTTTTCTGGCATTAACAATAGCAATCAGCTAATCCTTAACCAATTATTTGAAAACTTTGTCATGCAGCAGGAAGAGTTTGGATTGTTTCAAATTGGCAAATGGCAATATATTCAGTTAAAACATGTTTTAACTGCTCAATTTGGTTCAGAAATGTTATTGGAAGCTGAACTATTAGCAGTGGAAAGAATCTGAGGATTTGTATGCAGAGTGTGATGTTTGTGATTTGCTTGCAATCAATAACAAAGTATCATTGCTGAACGCCTCTCTCTCTGTATTTTCATTGCAAAAGTCCTGGTTACCTCTCCCTAGAAAGTAGATGCTCTTCTCATGCTAGCTAAACTAGTTTTTTAAAATGCAGAGTTAAAAAGTAAATTTAAGATTGATGCTCAACAGTTGTAGGAACCCAGTGTTCTGAATTAGAATGTTCCATTAACAAATTATGGGCTAGTCTCTTAAAGGATGCTGAATATGTGTTTTAAATTTAAAATGAGTTTAAGTAACAAAATATTGTTTTCCATGCTTACTGGACATCCCGCAGGCTATTTCAAAGGGTTAGGTGGCACCTTCATTATGATGGAAAAGTTTATTAATGAAAGACATTAACCTATGCAGTTTGGCTTTTTCTATAATTTCCCTGTTTCAGTCAATATTATTAACTTTGTTGGTACGATGATGGGAAGAGAAAGGTTTACATCTTCAAATTTGAAGTACGGTATATGCCGGTGTACAAGGCGACCCGGCGTATAAGATGACCCCCGTCTTTGTCGCCGAGTCGCATTCCTAGTCGTCTTATACGCCGTAAACTACCAGTATTTCCGGCGTATAAGACAACTCGGTGTATAAGATGACCCCCGTCTTTGGCGCCGATTTTAATGCTTGCAGAAGTCGCCTTATATGCCGGCATTTACGGTATGTGTTAGATTCCATATTTTGATATATAATTTATCTATCTGTGAAGAACTCTTAATCCGTCAAGCATGGAATATAGTTCAAGGGATTATTTTATTACAAAAAAAGACTATTAAAGTTGATTCAAAATCAAGGTAGTGGTGTCTTGCACGGGAAACAAGGCCTTCCTGAGCCCTGCCAGGTTCTTTTATTATAGCATGTTAAGTTCTGACTTGTGTCCTGCTCCTAAATGGGAGAGAATTAGTGTTATGATGGCCAAATGCTACTTTCATCATTTTTACTAAGGCTTTTGCTCTTTTGTACATTTCTATTTCCAAGGAGAAGGCTTACAGAGTGTGCAATGCCCCTTACTTTGACTTGCTGTATGCAAAAACCAATGTGCATGAAATTTCAAATACGTTTAATGTGGTTAGCAGCTCTGGAAGTGAACAGAAATATATAAATGTATTCATGTCAGCAGTTTGGCAACAAATTTTAAATGTAAACAGCTGCATCAAAGGTGAAAGAAATTCACTTTCATGGCATAAACAATAAAAATAGTTGTATGTTCCAGAACTTTATAATCAGTTTATACATAGATGTCATAGTAAGTCTCCTTCTTTCTGTGCAATGATCTGATCATTCCATATTAAGAATCCTCTAAGGATATTAATTAGACAAGTTATTTGTCATCTTATCTAGCTGAAGCAAATGTTATCCAATTTGTTTGAGAAATCTAATTATGTCTAATAAATTCCTTGAATCAGCTAGGGTGAATGTTGTTGTGTTTGTACTTGTCTTTTGGTAAACTTTGTAGTCTCAATCAACATATAATTAGCAGGGTTCCATAATCTCTATAAATAATCCAGAGTTCCTGAATTATAATTACTGTTTAAAGGCATACAAATCACAACCATCAGTGTAAATTTTTTTTGATGCATACCTTGCATTAATAGTTTTACATTAAAAAATAATAATTAGCTCCTTACAGGTATTAGTAGAGTGGAATGCTTACTAAATGAATGTTCATATTAAATTGCATCTATTCTGACATCACTGAAATGACATCACTATCCCTGCAGGATTTAGACTTTAGGCTTGAATATATAGTAGGATAAAACCTAATCCATATAGCCATACATGTACCAGTTTCATCCTAAGCTAGGACCATGTATTATTAGATAATATCTCTTCTCTCCTTTTTTTCATTGCACTCTCGATACAGAAATGTCTAAAGGGTCAGTGATCCCTGAAGGATATGAGAACTCTGGATTCAAACCCCTAAATAGATTCATTAACAACAGATTCAAAAGTGAACAGCTCCATTTTTACTGGTGACAGGCTAAAATGATAAATTATAGCCATTCGTGAGAATTAAGTTGGTTCAGCTGATATCTAGCATTTAAAATGTCTAGATGTCTAGGCTTTGAAAAAAATCAATATTTGAAGGGTTTTTCCCACACATTTCTCTTTTTTTTGTTCTGATTTCCACCTTCCCTCTGTGTGTGTATATGTGTGTGTAAATATGCATTATAATGGCAGTAATCAGAAGGGGTAGATTTCCCGAAATCTAACAGCAATAAAATGCTGTTCCTCAGAGCAAAACCTTTACCTCTGTATATAACTTATTAAAGAAAATTATTTTTCTGTTTTATCGTAATTTTATAATTGAAGTAGATCAACAGCTCAAACAAGAAAATGCAAGGCATCTGACAGGTGCAGAAACAACAAAATAATTTCAGTACCTTGGATAGCACTAAATCAGAGATTCAGAACTATGGCTAGCAATGTTGCAGAGCTGAATGCCAGGGCAAGGAAAACTATAACGTTTGTTCCATTCGCTCAGGTATTGTATCAGACTTTTTTTTCTTTTTCTTTTCTTTTCTTTTTTGCTTTTTTAAAGGTCCTATCAAATATTTTTACACATTCAAAAACACATATATAAAATAATACAAAATAAAAATAAACAAAAACAAAGAACTTTATGCAAGAAAATGCAAATAAACAAAAACTGGTAATTATATCTTACATCCCAAGTTGTATTTTTTATTCTATAAGTCTTTAAAAAGGTAAACTAAACCTTCAATGTTGACCAATCCTGTTCAAAAATTTTTTGAAAGAGAGACATATAATAATTTGATCCTTTATATCTGGAATTATAGTATTTAGAATTATTCTTTTTGCTATTGCTACAGCTTGAAAGACCCATCCTTCTTCTGATCATTCATAGTCATAGTTATTGATATAAAATATACAATAATTCAATACAATATACATGTCTTTAAAACCAGAATTTTATCAATAATTCTCCAATATATTGCATAATGTTACTCCAAAAATGGTTCTTATTTACAGAAGCATGTAAGGGGGATCATGATCAGAACATATGAGCTAAAGTGTTGTCAAATTCGTTACAATAATTATTAATCCATCCTTTATAAACATTCCAGATATTGTCCATTAGATAGAAAAAATGCCACAATCTTTTGAAGATTTATTTCAATTTTAAATCACCATAAATAAAATATTCTTTAAACATGGTTAAAAAGAACTGGAGTTTTCAGTTCCTGATTTTCTTTTCCACTCTAGCTGTTTCCAGAATCAAAACTAGTGAGTCCATTCACTCTTTCTTTTTAAATAAATATTTTATGTTACTGTCTTTTGAGATCGTATCTTTCATAATTTTCTGTTTTGATGAAGAACTATTGCTAAACCCAAAGAATTTAACGTCAATACCAACTATAATGGAATCTCTATGCACAGAAACATATTTGTTCACTTTTCTAAAACATATTCACATCTTCCTTGCTTTATTGCTATTCATGTGCTTCAGATCTAACTTTAAATTTCTTGGGACAAAGAGCTGGCATTTTAAATATATTTCTTTGTTTATTTATTTATTACATTTATTGGCCACCCATTTTACCACAGGTTAACTCTGTGTGGCTTACAATCTTAAAAAAACTCTATATAAATAAATAAAATACTACAAAAATACAGAAATACAAAATACAATACACAGCCCTAGCTAAAAGGTGGGGAGAGAAGAAATAGGATGAGCAAGGGGGGAGGTGGGATCTGTTATTAATCTATCAACCATCTGCAATGTGAAGCCCCTCCCTTGGACTCCCAAGAAATTCAGGAGGGTTGGAGTCAACCTTACTCTGGGGCAAGAAGTTCCAAAGGGCAGGAGAAAATATAAAATATTTGCTTCATAAAATTCCATATGTGATGGTGAAAGATTAGGAGAAATATTCAACTTGACATCTGAAT